AAAAGACGTGGTGCAGGCACGAAACACACCAATATAAATACATTGCTTTTAAAATTGTTGTGTGTGACACGAAAAAAATGCAAAAATCGTTTTGGTGAACACGAATCAATAGATTAAATTAATTTCGTGACTATAACACGAAATGCTGTGAGACTGGGTTGTACATTACCATCCTCCCTGACAAGTCTACAATTAGATAGTATTTATTTAATGTTTCTTAAAACAAAGCTTTCATTTAAGTGTAGACTTTAGATTGGTTAAATGAATGCACCCATCAGCAGTTTGTTAGCCTACGGTAGCAATGGCTAGTGTTACAAGAAAACGCTCAATAGCTTTCTTGCAGAGTTAGATAAGAAACTATCAAAGTAGCTTAGCACAAAGTCTTAATGCTAAGCTAGCTCACCGCCTACTGGTTGTAGCTGAATTTTTCCCTCTCTATACAGTATTTATTTTCTGTTTCTATAAGCTAACATTGGACATTAAGCTAGCATTGGACTCTAAGCTACCATTGGGCTTCTGTGTAACATTTCTAAGACACGTTTTTTTATAGTTGTCTCAAGCTGTCTGAGAAAATAAATTGACAGACTCTCTAGAGATAAGAAATGGTGCTAGGAAATGTGTCAATTCTGTTTTAGTGTAGATTTCCACTGCTCACTTCTTCCTCATGGAGACTCTTCACAGTGAAACACGAAATCAGTTACATTTACAGTGAAAACCTGCTATGTTAATATCAAACGGCAACGTTTCAAGTTGAGTTTTAAAGGTGTGTATTTAAAGGGTTTCATAATCCCTAAACTGTGAAGGAGCGTGGGATCATTGTATGTAAAAAGAACAATCACTAGAAACTAGTCACAAGGTTTTTGCCTGGTTTTAACACAGTGTCTGAAAGCCACTTCAGCTGAAGGCAACAGTCGCTCCGTTAACATTTAACAAAAGTGTCTCTTTTCGGAGCCAATTAAAAGCTGTGAGATGCCTCCATCAGTTCAGTTTTAATGTCGCTGTCAGAGCAGTCAGTGGGGAGGACATCAGCCCCCGAACCACATCCTAAATTAATCGCACTCGGAGATAATCACATAACCGACAATTAACTCCATTCCCCATTTAGTATTCCCCCTACCCATCGACACACACATATTGCACGACTACACACCAGTCTCACTGCACACACAGATCCCCAGCAGGCACGACACACACGTGAACAAATGTTACTGTGAATATAATCTTTGTTAGGTTCACAACAGTGAAGGATAACACCCCTTTTCTTTTTCTCTGTGGGGGGATTTTTGGTGATTTATACGCAAACACTAAACATTGTAAGTGACATAATTAATCAGGGATGTGAAAAGTAGATTGAGAAAAGCGTTTTTTTGCCTCCCTGGAAAGAGTTTCATTCCAAAAACATGCAAAGAAACATCAACAGTAATCATAACGTCTTTAGAGGTGCAGCAATTAGCCGATTTATCGATTAGTTGATGGACGGAAAACTATTTTGATAATAGATTCATTCTTATGCAGAAATTAGAAAATGCTTCCAGGTGTCCTGCTTTCCTCTGTTATATATCACATTAGCACATTTAAAGAGTCCTCTCCTGCTGATGTTCAGGTGTATATCAGTATGTAGTGTCTCTACTTTAAAGAGTCCTCTCCTGCTGATGTTCAGGTCTATATCAGTATGTAGTGTCTCTACTTTAAAGAGTCCTCTCCTGCTGATGTTCAGGTGTATATCAGTATGTAGCGTCTCTACTTTAAAGAGTCCTCTCCTGCTGATGCTCAGGTGTATATCAGTATGTAGCGTCTCTACTTTAAAGAGTCCTCTCCTGCTGATGTTCAGGTGTATATCAGTATGTAGTGTCTCTACTTTAAAGAGTGCTCTCCTGCTGATGTGCAGGTGTATATCAGTATGTAGTGTCTCTACTTTAAAGAGTCCTCTCCTGCTGATGTTCAGGTGTATATCAGTATGTAGTGTCTCTACTTTAAAGAGTCCTCTCCTGCTGATGCTCAGGTGTATATCAGTATGTAGCGTCTCTACTTTAAAGAGTCCTCTCCTGCTGATGTTCAGGTGTATATCAGTGTGTAGTGTCTCTACTTTAAAGAGTCCTCTCCTGCTGATGTTCAGGTGTATATCAGTATGTAGTGTCTCTACTTTAAAGAGTCCTCTCCTGCTGATGCTCAGGTGTATATCAGTATGTAGTGTCTCTACTTTAAAGAGTGCTCTCCTGCTGATGTGCAGGTGTATATCAGTATGTAGTGTCTCTACTTTAAAGAGTCCTCTCCTGCTGATGTTCAGGTGTATATCAGTATGTAGTGTCTCTACTTTAAAGAGTCCTCTCCTGCTGATGCTCAGGTGTATATCAGTATGTAGTGTCTCTACTTTAAAGAGTGCTCTCCTGCTGATGTGCAGGTGTATATCAGTATGTAGTGTCTCTACTTTAAAGAGTCCTCTCCTGCTGATGTTCAGGTGTATATCAGTATGTAGTGTCTCTACTTTAAAGAGTCCTCTCCTGCTGATGTTCAGGTGTATATCAGCATGTAGTGTCTCTACTTTAAAGAGTCCTCTCTTGCTGATGTTCAGGTGTATATCAGTATGTAGTGTCTCTACTTTAAAGAGTCCTCTCTTGCTGATGTTCAGGTGTATATCAGTATGTAGTGTCTCTACTTTAAAGAGTCCTCTCCTGCTGATGTTCAGGTATATATCAGTATGTAGTGTCTCTACTTTAAAGAGTCCTCTCCTGCTGATGTCCAGGTGTATATCAGTATGTAGTGTCTCTACTTTAAATAGTCCTCTCCTGCTGATGTTCAGGTGTATATCAGTATGTAGTGTCTCTACATGTCTCCATGCTTTAATGTTCAAAAAGCTCTTTATTTTTCTCATACTGCCTGTGCTGCAGCACCTCTTGTCACCCTCTGTCTGAAACCAGAGCCCAATCTGCTCTGATTGGTTAGCTGGCCGGCTCTGTTCTGATTGGTCAATCGCTTAGACATAAAGTACAATGTGTTGGAGTGCTAGCCAATAGAAGCACAGGTGTTATATAATGATGTCACTATGTTAACAAACTACAGGAAAAGGAATATCACCAAAAACCAGAATAGGGTGTCTTTTAATAAACATCTTTGCCTTTTGGAGTAATTAAATAAGACATTTAAAGACATCAACTTGGACATCAAAGACCAAATTAATTAGTTTATCTAGAAAATAATCTACAGATTAATCAATTATTAAAATATCAGTAGGTTTTAGTCCTCTAAGTCTCATTTTTGATATACCTGCCGTTAGGGTAAGGCACATGTTGTACTAGAGGCTGTTGGAAACATACAAAATATCCTTTGCATGTGTTTCTGGAATGAAACCCTTCCAGTTCAGAGAGTTGCTATTTGACACCGAGGCTGTATTTCATCAGATGAGCCTCACTTTGACACAAAGCCTTTCTGAGACAAAGACCGGAGAAAAACCTGCTGGAGGAGGGGAATCTTGTTTTCAGGCAAAAATTGCACGTTATTATCAAATTGCACCTCAGACACATAAATTGCACACATCACCGCAGCCTGCCGTTTCCCCTCCGCTGTTCACCTCATGACAAACGACTGATTCTGGATCAGCTGCAGCCTGTTGGCACTGTGTGGTCGGCACTTAGATGAGTTTAAACCAGATTTAAAAATAAATACATTTATCACAAAAATCCATGTTTACTGGAAAATGTCCGTTAGCACTTCTGAGTTTTGTTTTGTCAGGCGATCTGATCCTGGAGCAGATTCAGCACCTGTGTGTTAACAGAGCAGTTCATCTGGGTTTGACTCAGCTGATCCTGAAGCAGTGGCTTTCCAATCGGAGGCAACAAAATGAAAAAAAAAGAAGCTCTCTGGAGATTTCTACTCCAGAGAATACTGCACGGTACAGGGATGAGACATCGGGGAAAAAACATTGACATGCTCAACGAGACGGAAACTAAAGGAAAAAATCCCTTAAAGGTCACCTATTATGCAAACTCCACTTCTCCATGTGTCTTCTACATCAACATGTGTCCCCTCTTCTTCATGTCTCTTCTTCATCAACATGTGTCCCCTCTTCTTCATGTCTCTTCTACATCAACATGTGTCCCCTCTTCTTCATGTCTCTTCTACATCAACATGGTGTCCCCTCTTCTTCATGTCTCTTCTACATCAACATGTGTCCCCTCTTCTTCATGTCTCTTCTACATCAACATGTGTCCCCTCTTCTTCATGTCTCTTCTACATCAACATGTGTCCCCTCTTCTTCATGTCTCTTCTACATCAACATGTGTCCCCCTCTTCTTCATGTCTCTTCTACATCAACATGTGTCCCCTCTTCTTCATGTCTCTTCTACATCAACATGTGTCCCCTCTTCTTCATGTCTCTTCTACATCAACATGTGTCCCCCTCTTCTTCATGTCTCTTCTACATCAACATGTGTCCCCTCTTCTTCATGTCTCTTCTACATCAACATGTGTCCCCTCTTCTTCATGTCTCTTCTACATCAACATGTGTCCCCTCTTCTTCATGTCTCTTCTACATCAACATGTGTCCCCTCTTCTTCATGTCTCTTCTACATCAACATGTGTCCCCTCTTCTTCATGTCTCTTCTACATCAACATGTGTCCCCTCTTCTTCATGTCTCTTCTACATCAACATAGTGTCCCCCTCTTCTCCATGTCTCTTCTACATCAACATGTGTCCCTCTTCTTCATGTCTCTTCTACATCAACATGTGTCCCCTCTTCTTCATGTCTCTTCTACATCAACATGTGTCCCCTCTTCTTCATGTCTCTTCTACATCAACATGTGTCCCCTCTGTGGAAAGAGACTCTGAAAGTTTCAGGAACAAAGATTCTCTCTCTTTTTGATCCATTTTTATAAAAACCTGTCTGAAAATGAGCTGTTCAGATTTGAGCCACTTTATGATGTCATAACGATGTTTTGTCTTGAGTAACCATTAGCCAATCAGCAATCAAGGTAACCCTCCCCCACCTTATCACCTGAATCTCCTCCTAGAGCACCATTGAGTTCTTTCTAACCAAATCTCTCTCAGAGGGGCGTGGGGAGGGGCTCCTTATTTCCATCTAAAGTAACAGACAGAGAATCAGCACTTTGGAAACAGGGCTGAAACAGAGGGGATTATGGGTAATGCTGCAATGATCTGTTTGGTGTTTCAGCCAATCAGAGACAGGCTCTGTATATATCTGAGACCTGTGATATATTGATGAAAAACTGTATTATAGGAGACCTTTAATAAATCACTTCTCATCAAACCAAGAGGGTGTTGTTCTTGTTGGGGGGGCACTGTGTGTGATGTAGTCCGGGTCACATGGCCAGCGTTCGGGCTTTGTTAGCGGCCGCCTGCGCCCTCAGCACCGCCCCCTGGCTGCTCTCCCTCCTCACCAGCTGGCTGCTCTCAAACAGACCCTCGTCGCCGCCGCCGGGCCCTCCGTCCAGAAACGTCAGTATTCCTGCATTAGAGACTCCGAGTCAGATATTTCAACAAAGATTCAAGGCTTTGTCATTGTCATGTGTGCATAGCTACAGACAGTGTAGTTATGACAATGAAATGATTAGGTCACAGGCTCCTCCAACAGTGCAACACAATAATACAAATAATAGTGCAAGTAAATACAAGAAAATATTATATAAATAGTGCAGAATAGTCTATAAACAAATAATTGGAATATTGATATATGAGTTGCAAACAGATGCAAGCAGAAAGGACCAAGTACAGATTCTGACGTTGAAGGACATTCACTTTCTTTGTCTTAATTCGGTAAACTTCGCTCAGTTCACTGCATGCGATGTCGGCACCGTTTACATTTACCCAGTGTGACTTTTAACCGTGATGTGTTGTTTCAGATCGCACACCATCACAGGAAGTTACGGTCAACGCTGTTAGCTACCTAGCTAGCAACAATTATTCCGGGTAACAAATCATTACATACTGATTTTTGTCGAAGGAGCCTTTTGCAATGCTAACTTCAGGGTCAATCTACAAAAATACGCCTTCCCCCCGTACCAATCTTTAACTTGGAGCTATTAATTGCATAGTAAGATGTATTTGTCATGACATCACCTGTATAAAAACATGTTAAAGGTGGGGTAGGTAAGTTTGAGAAACCGGCTCGAGATACACTTGTTGTTATATTCCATGGAATGCTCTTAACGTCCCGATAGCAATGAATATCTGAAGTGCGTTGACAAAAAACCCATTAAAAAATGTCATCTGTGGAAGCCGTGGCGCTGTAAAAAGCACGACCAATCATCTGAGCCGGCCCGGCTAAAGTAACTGGATGGCCTACCTGCCTGTCAGCCTTCCATCTGGGCACTAACTCATCTCGTGCCTTCATTGGTCATGTGCGCGTTCGTGTGTGTTGGAGGAGGGGCTCTGTAAGGAAGTGGAAGATTTCTTCCGGCTGTGTATTTTCAAATTCTAGAGCACTCGAGCCGGTTTCTCCAAAATGACCTACCCCACCTTTAAGTTAAAGAAATAAAACCAAAAACAACTTTTAAATTCTTGTTTTGTCTGCTTTGGTATGAACTGAGTGGTCATTACATTAATTAACACTCTTTTATACAAAGTCACTTACATACATTCAATACTGTGGGCAATCCCCCCCAGGAGTAATTTGGGGTGAAGCGTCTTGCCCAGTGAGTGGGGATTGAACCAACAGATCAGCACACTACCGCACTGAGCCACAGCCTCACCAAAAAGAAACATATTGAATAACTAAGCTGAGACTTCACCTCTCGTTTGAGTTTCATCGCCTTCATCTGTTGTCTCTTGTTTGACTTCTCCTTCATATAATGGGTTTGAGTTCACTGTTATCTGAACTTGGGTTAATGTTCAACTAAGAAACTTCATAAAAGACTTTTAGGAATGACGCCCCTTCCTCTAAAAACACCACATCATCAGATCTCAGGAAGCTGGAGGAATCTTTATGATCCGTCTTTATTTTTACAAGCACAAAAATGAACCAGTTGTCAAGGTGACGCAAATAAAAACGTGTTGATTACCTCCAGAGTCTGAGAAACACACAGGGGGGGCTTCCGACCGCACAATTAACACGTCGTCTGTTTCATATTATTTAAAAGTATTTAAAGCATCAGGTATCAGAACAATGAGGGGATCTGCGACAATGTGAGAGTGACAACGAATCTCAAGACTGAATAATAAATATCCCCTTAATGTAGGAGTGACATTCAAAGATTACAACAATTACCTTTAAGGAAATATTAAAGTAATGAAATTCAAAGTCAAAGATTGAGATACTAAAATAAACATCAAGAAATGTCCTCTAATATCATCCTTATGTTACATCTCTTTTAAAATCAACATCTTTACCTGTTGCAAATTGACCAATCAGAATCGAGTATTTGTCTAAGACGTGTTATATGTTATATTATTGATTTATTATATTCATTTACTTCTAATGGCTACCTCAGAATTGTAATTACTGGCTTTTACTTTGCACCACTGCTAACCCTAAACCTGGTAGAGTATCTTAAATACTAAATAAATAGTGGTTCGGAAGCTGCATCGAACCTCAAGACCCTGCAGCGCGTCGTGAACATCGGGGCCTCACTCCCATCACTCATGGACATCTACAACACCCGCAGAGCACTCAGCATTGCTGGTGACCCCACCCATCCCTCCACCTGCCTCTTCATCCTCCACCTGCCTCTTCATCCTCCACCTGCCTCTTCATCCTCCACCTGCCTCTTCACCCTCCACCTGCCTCTTCACCCTCCACCTGCCTCTTCACCCTCCACCTGCCTCTTCATCCTCCACCTGCCTCTTCACCCTCCACCTGCCTCTTCATCCTCCACCTGCCTCTTCACCCTCCACCTGCCTCTTCATCCTCCACCTGCCTCTTCATCCTCCAGCCTTCAGGGAGAAGGGTCCGCAGCCTGGGGTCGAGCCCCACCAGACTAAAGAACAGTTTCTTACACCAGGCTGTCAGGAGGCTGAACTCTCTCCTCCCTCCCTCCCCTCTCACCTCTCTCTCTCCCCTCTCTCCCCTCTCTCCCCTCTCTCTCCCCTCTCTCTCCCCTCTCTCCCTCTCTCCCCTCTCTCCCTCATCTCCTCTCCCTCTCCCTCTTCTCCTCTCTCCCCTCCCTCCCCTCTCCCCTCCCTCCCCTCCCCTCGCCTCCCCTCCCTCCACCTCTCCTCATCCCCTCTCTCCCTCTCTCCCCTCCCCCCTCTCTCTCACCTCTCTCCCCTCCCGTCCCTCTCCCCCTCTCTCGACCTCTCCCTCGCGCCCTCTCACCCTCCTCCCTCCCTCCCTCTGCACCCCTCTCAAACCGTCACCCCTCTCAACCCCCTCCTCACCCATCCCTCCCTCTCTCCCTCTCTCACCCCTCCATCCCCCCGCCCCTTCTCTCACCCCTCCCTCCCCTCTCTCCCCTCTCACCCCTCCCTCCCCTCTCTCCCCCCCCTGCCCCCACTAGACTATAACCCCCCACACAATCAGACACTCAATTCCAGCACACATGTTTACGCTGCTATGGGCAATCTGCAATAAATGCACATTTTACGGACAATCTTGCACCAAAGATATTGAAGTGACTGTTATTTTGTATATATTGATTGTTGTGTTTTTTTTATTTTAATGTGTGCATATGTGTTGATTGTGAATATAGGATATACATACTTTATACACATTTTTATACATATCTGTATACTGTATAATTTTACATTCAGGATTGTTGGAAACGTCATTTCGATCTCTGTCTGTACACAAACTGAGTAAGATTGACATTAAAGTTGAATTTGACTTTGACTAAAGAAGAACTTTCTGATAAGATTTATTCATTTGTTTGTTAATTTTGACGGGGACAGTGCACTAAATGAACATTAGCATAAAATATATGATGTATTTTGTAAATATAATTAAGTCTCAAGGCAGGTCACAAACACAGAAACATAACTATAGGCGTTTTCACACCGGAGTACTTTTCCCCTTTAGTTCCGATAGTTCCTGGGATTTTATGTTCACACCAAAAAGAGAACTTAGTTCATGAGAACTTTTACCCCCATTTTTAGTGCCTGCTAGAGGTGGTACTTTCCTGGGGAGAAAAAAGTTCCAATTTCTGATTGGCTGGGCGAACCACGCCCCGTAAAACAAAAAAAGTTTTGTGAAGCCGCCATTGTATTTGCTGGCATTAGCATTATTAGCATTAGCCCCGCGCTCCAACGCAGAGAGACTAACTTATGGCAACACAAAAGAAAACATGGGAGCGGTGGAGATGAGGAGGTGTCGGCGTTCTGGCGATTTACTCGGAAGGCTTCAGTAGAAGCTGCTGGGAGTCCCAGCAGCTTCTACTGAAGCCAGTCTCCAACTCCGGGGACTTCCGGCCGGGGACTTTGGGCGGCAGTATACGCCGTGAAGTGGTTTGCGGCCTGCCAGTAAACCCAAAGCAGAAGAAGAAGAAGTGACGTCAGCGGCTTCATTTGCGTAATCTTCACTCAGGGAACTTATTCCTTTGTGAACGCGATCGGCTCTTAGTTCCATGGGGGAACTAAGAGCTGGGAACTAAGAGCTGGGAACTAAGTGCTGGGAACTAAGAGCTGGGAACTAAGTGCTGGGAACTAAGAGCTGGGAACTAAGTGCTGGGAACTAAGTACGGCAAAGTACTCGGTATGAAAGCGGCTAAAGTCTCAATTTACAAATACAAACATACAACACACAAGTGACTACATGTCAAATAAATAATTGAGTAGTGATTTCTTACCGTATCCGTCCACACAGCCGCTTTTAAACTCGCCCTCGAACCTCATCCCGTCGAAGCACGTGAAGACGCCGGCGCCTTGAAATTTACCCTGCACAAATTCACCTTCATACCTACAAATAAAACATCAACAGAAAAAACAAATACATGAAATGTCTCGCCTCAAATCTGTTGTGTACCGATTAGTGTTAAATAGGAAGGCTAACGACCCAGTGTTGAAACAGTTGAGCCAAAACCAAAAAGCTGCTAACTTTTCTTTGTATTTATTAATAAAATAGACTTAAGGTTAACTAAAGTCACTCTTAACTGCCTTCTTTTGTGGGGAATCATTAAACATAACTCAATCATTTATCAAACAGAAACACCAAGAGTTATTTAAGAGACGACTATATGATTTTTGCTTTTACGAATTTAATTATATCTCCGATTCAGAGTCAGATAAACTAAATATTTTAAGACGTTAGCATGGGCTTTTCAGTTTACGGTTAATTATCAGTAGCAGCATTATCAGGAGTTTAAAATAGAATAGAACATATCTATATTGTCATCATACAAAGTATAACGACATTTCTTTGGCGACTCTCACTGCAGTAAACAATAGACACAATAAATAAATAAGAGTTTCAGACTGATGCTGTACCTTTTCTTTCCTCCTGCAAACAGCTAGGGAATTTGCAGCAATGAAGCTCAGCGCAAGTTCAACCAGGAAGACTGGTTTACTCATTAATTTACTATTTCCATGTTACTACTCTCTCTCTCCTCTCAATAAGTGATCGGGGGCGTCACTCTCCAGCTTAACCAATCACTTCGCTCTATTCTCACAAGCCTATCATAGCGCTCCGCTAACTCTTTTAAATCAGCTCTTCCCTCTGACAGCTGCCATTTCAGGTGACTCGACGCAACCCTCCTCCACCCCTTTTCACCTCCTGTCCCTCTGAATCCGGGTCAAGCCAAGCTCCTCCCCTTCAGACCGACCCCAACTATCCATTCACCACCACCAGGGTCAAGCTAAGCCACTCCCCTTCAGACCGACCCCAACTATCCATTCTCCACCACCAGGGTCAAGCTAAGCCCCTCCCCTTCAGACCGACCCCAACTATCCATTCACCACCACCAGGGTCAAGCTAAGCCCCTCCCCTTCAGACCGACCCCAACTATCTATTTACCACCACCAGGGTCAAGCTAAGCCCCTCCCCTTCAGACCGACCCCAACTATCTATTCACCACCACCAGGGTCAAGCTAAGCCCCTCCCCTTCAGACCGACCCCAACTATCCATTCACCACCACCAGGGTCAAGCTAAGCCCCTCCCCTTCACACCGACCCCCAACTATCTATTTACCACCACCAGGGTCAAGCTAAGCCCCTCCCCTTCAGACCGACCCCAACTATCCATTCACCACCACCAGGGTCAAGCTAAGCCCCTCCCCTTCAGACCGACCCCAACTATCCATTCAGCACCACCAGGGTCAAGCTAAGCCCCTCCCCTTCAGACCGAACCCAACTATCCATTCACCACCACCAGGGTCAAGCTAAGCCACTCCCCTTCAGACCGATCCCAACTATCCATTCACCACCACCAGGGTCAAGCTAAGCCCCTCCCCTTCAGACCGACCCCAACTATCTGTTCACCACTACCAGGGTCAAGCTAAGCCACACCTCTTCAGACCGACCCCAACCATCCATTCACCACCACCAGGGTCAAGCTAAGCCACACCTCTTCAGACCGACCCCAACCATCCATTCACCACCACCAGGGTCAAGCTAAGCCACTCCCCTTCAGACCGACCCCAACTATAGATTCACCACCACCAGTGTATAGACCCCGGGGCGTTTCATCGGATTGGTTCTCCCCTCCCGAATTATACTCCCGCACAACGGGGCCTAATCGCCAAAACACACATCTTTGAAACCAACTTGTTTTTTTACCAAGCAGTCATCAATGTATTCATACCCCCTCGTTATTAGGAGTTTTCAGTTTCACAGTTTAAAAAACAGCTGAGACAAAAAACTGTGAGAAATATTTACATACCCAGCATGAATAACATGTGCCATCGCTCCAATGTCAAACAGCCTCACACTGACAAAAGACTGAAGTGCCAGGAGCAGAACAAGAGCTCAAAACATCGACAAGATAAAACATTGAATTCCATCAAACGGATTACTTGGAGCCACAGATGGGGTGAGGCGGATACAAAGAGCCAAAGACATTCAACCGCTTTGACTTCTCCCATCCAGATAAAAGAAGATTTTGATTTAGTTCAACAAAATATTTGTCACCTGGAATATGTAACTTCTGTGAAAAGCAACAATCTTTTAAGAGCTTCTTTTCAAAGTCCAAGGATAGCAACTTTTGTTTCTGAAAAGACACAAAATATTCATTTAAATTGATGTTTTAATATTTCCAAAGCCCCGAATAATTGTTTTTTAAGTTAGGCCCTGAACACGTCATCTGCTGCACTTGAACGTTGTACCTGCGCTTCACAAATAATACAAATCTCTGCAGACTGATTTTGTTCACAGGTCACACTTCAATTAAGTTATTTCTCCTCGTGAAGAAATGAAGAAATGAAGCAGATGTTTCCGTCTGCTCTGGAATGAAGTACTTCAAAAACAATTTGTCTTTGAAAATGCTCTGATGAAAATATGTAAGCAAATATTCAGAAGTTAGAGAAGACTTAGTTTCATTCATCGAAGAATTAATGGTAATATTTCTTTATTTGTTTATTTCCTAACACTCAAGATCTTTCTGAGACTAAGGAACCAAGACTAAGGTTAACTAAAGTCTTTACTGCCTTCTTTTGTGGGAAATCATTCAACATAATTCAATCCGTTATCAAACAGAAACACAGAATATTATACGTTTTTTTAAGAGACGACTATATGATATTTGCTTTTTCCTACTTTAATTATATCTCGGTTTTTGAACTTTGAGTCAGATAAAACACAATATTTTAAGACCTTACCTTGGACATTCTGGTTCATTATTTAATTGTCAGGAGTTTCAGACTGATACTGAGTTCATGAAGTTGAAGCCAAATGTGTAGAAATTACTTTGGAGATAATCGGAAAATATTTGGCAACTATTTTGCTAATTGTTTACATTATTAAAGCAAAAATAGCAAAACTATAGGCGCTTTCACACCGGAGTACTTTTCCCAGTATAGTTCCGACAGAGTTCCGAAAATGTGCGTTCACACCAAAACAATTCTGGGAACTAGAACTTAGTTCATGAACCTTTTCACCCCCTTTTCCGTCCCTGCTAGAGAGCAGGAACTTTCGTGGGAGAAAAAGGTTCCCATTTCTGATTGGCTGTGCGGATTGCAAACCACGCCCCGTAAAACTCCCAAAAAGTTTTGTGAAGCCGCCATTTTATTTTCCTCACATTAGCATTATTAGCATTAGCCCAGCGCACAAACGCAGAGAGACTAACTTATGGCAACACAAAATAAAACATGGAGGCGGTGGAGATGAGGAGGTGTCTGCGTTCTGGCGATTTACTCGGAAGGCTTCAACTCCGGAGACTTCCGGCCGGGTACTTCGGGTGTCAGTATACGCCGTGAAGTTGTTTGCGGCCTGCCAGTAAACCCAAAGCAGAAGAAGTGACGTCAGCGGCTTCATTTGAACTAAAGAGTTCTGATGAACTAAGTACGGCAAAGTACTTGGTGTGAAAGCGCCTAATGCAAAAAAGCCTGTAATTAGAACGTATGGTAAGAGGAGGGTTTGTTGCTTTCTCTGTCATATATCATTGTTAATTAAATATGTTTTAGGCTTTATACTTAAACTATTACAAAAAGGTATTTTTAAGAGCTTGCCTCAGCTTAAGATATTTTCTTTTCTCAATTTGTTTACATTTCAGACTAAGTGATTAATCATAATCGATGAAAAATACATTTCGAGTGCCAAGTTTTGCCAGACAACATCCTGCCAGGTAATTTTAACAATATTAAAGTAACTTAATTTACATCAAATGAAACTCTGATGGAATGAAAACCCAGATGAGGTTGAAGAGGTATTTAGGCACAGTGTCATTAGGTCAAGCTTTTAGATAATGCTCAAAGGCAGCGGTTCCAAACCTTTTTCAACTCAGGACCCACTTAAGAATTTAAATAATGTTTGTGGCCCACATTCAACCATAAACAATACAGAGGCTAAATAGAGTTCTGATTGGTCAATTCAGAACATGTGACACGTTGTAAATCCAGTAGAACAGACCGCTGTCAAGGACTGTAATGACCGTTGCTAAGGAGGCTCAAGAAAGAGAAAGGAATGGAGGTTCAAATAAAATAAAATCTTAATAATGAAAATGTTTCCACACAAATCATAATGTTTGCAAATTATTTGGCGGCCCACAGGCTGGGAACCGATGCCCTAAAGAGTGCTTTAACTTTAAAGGTCAAAGGTCAGGGTGACAGGAAGTGAAAGACAGACCTGGATCCGTCGGGGAAGACCAGCATCCCGCAGCCATTGAAGAGCCCGTTCTCAAACTGTCCAGTGTAACACGTCCCATCGCTGAAGGTCAGCTGACCCAGGCCGTGACGCAGACCTGAGGAAACACACACACACACACACACAGATCACTTTAGTTTAAATTATCGGATTAAGTGGAAAGGCGATTTTGATTTAATGACACAAAATATAACTAAAGTTCAACATAATATTCTCATAAAAACTCGTCACCTGGAATATGTAACTGCTGTGAAAAGCAAACATTTTATAAGAGCCTCTTTGCAAAGTCCAAAGACAGAAACTATTGATACTGAAAAGACTTATTTTCTGCTAAATATTCATTTAAAATGATGTTTTAATATTTCCAAAGCCCCTGAATAATAATAAGTGAGTTGGTTTTTAAGTCCTGAACATGTCCTCTGCTGCACAGATTAGGTTTCCAATAAATCAACATGTTCTTCAAGGTTCTGCAGAAATTAATGTTTTTGGAAACTGGTGAATTTTAAGAGATGACGGCATCGTTTCCTTAATTTAAAGGTTCGACATCAAAGAGGGAAGATATACTTCTGTAATATAATGACATCACTAGGTAACACTTGCACTTATATTGGCTAGCGCTGCAACACATTCTACATGATAGGCTTAATAAAACAAATGTGAATAAAATTAGGGTGGGTCTTGATGGCAGCATTATTATAATCTTCAACATGTTAGGCTTTAACTTCAGAAGTCATAATGTGCTAACGGACAAAAGGTGAGTTGCTCTTGTTCGTTTTGCCCACAGAGGTGAGACCCCCCTTAAAGGTCCCTTATCATCCTGTTTATCATCAACATATCACAGGTCTCAGATATATACAGAACCTGTCTCTGATTGGCTGAAACACCAAACAGATCACAATCCCCTCTGTTTCAGCCCTGTTTCCAAAGTGCTGATTCTCTGTCTGTTACTTTAGATGAAAATAAGGAGCCCCTCCCCACGCCCCTCTGAGAGAGATTTGGTTACAAAGAACTCAATGGTGCTCTCGGAGGAGATTCAGGTGATAAGGGGGGGGGGGGTTACCTTGGTTGCTGATTGGCTAATGGTTACACAAGACAAGACATCGTTATGACATCATAAAGTGGCCAAAATCTGATCAGCTCATTTTCAGACAGGTTTTTATAGAAATGGATCAAAAAGAGAGAGAATCTTTGTTCCTGAAACTTTCAGAGTCTCTTTCCACAGAGGGGACACATGTTGATGTAGAAGAGACATGAAGAAGAGGGGACACATGTTGATGTAGAAGAGACATGAAGAAGAGGGGACACATGTTGATGTAGAAGAGACATGAAGAAGAGGGGACACACTGTTGATGTAGAAGAGACATGAAGAAGAGGGGACACATGTTGATGTAGAAGAGACATGAAGAAGAGGGGACACATGTTGATGTAGAAGAGACATGAGAAGAGGGGACACATGTTGATGTAGAAGAGACATGAAGAAGAGGGGACACATGTTGATGTAGAAGAGACATGAGGAAGAGGGGACACATGTTGATGTAGAAGAGACATGAAGAAGAGGGGACACATGTTGATGTAGAAGAGACATGAAGAAGAGGGGACAACATGTTGATGTAGAAGAGACATGAAGAAGAGGGGACACATGTTGATGTAGAAGAGACATGAAGAAGAGGGGACACATGTTGATGTAGAAGAGACAGGAAGAAGAGGGGGACACATGTTGATGTAGAAGAGACATGAAGAAGAGTGGACACATGTTGATGTAGAAGAGACATGAAGAAGAGGGGACACATGTTGATGTAGAAGAGACATGAAGAAGAGGGGACACATGTTGATGTAGAAGAGACATGAAGAAGAGGGGACACATGTTGATGTAGAAGAGACATGAAGAAGAGGGGACACATGTTGATGTAGAAGAGACATGAAGAAGAGGGGACACATGTTGATGTAGAAGAGACATGAAGAAGAGGGGGACACATGTTGATGTAGAAGAGACATGAAGAAGAGGGGACACATGTTGATGTAGAAGAGACATGAAGAAGAGGGGACACATGTTGATGTAGAAGAGACATGAAGAAGAGGGGACACATGTTGATGTAGAAGAGACATGAAGAAGAGGGGACACGTGTTGATGTAGAAGAGACATGAAGAAGAGGGGACACATGTTGATGTAGAAGAGACATGAAGAAGAGGATTTTGCACAATAGGTGACCTTTCAAGATGCGACAAATCTCCAGGTTCAGGAGGCTTGAGGAGACAGGAGGGAAATAGACGAGTGTTTCTCTTTGCCAACTTCTATTAGTAGGCCCGGTGGGATTTAGCAGACTAACTGGATGTGTGGCACAGTTGGACACTGAGGAGGTCCCGGGTTTCTCCAGAAGCTTCACGCGACTAAATGGATTTACTGTGAGCTCGCCAAGTGGCATGAAACTAGTGGAAAGGGTCGGGGGATTCCTTACAGAGGATTGGGATTTGCTTAGTGAGTGTTGCTACCAGCTAATGGCAAAGTTCATTAGGCATCCATCTGTCAGGCTGCTTAATGTGCTGCCTAATCTCAGCAGGGTTTTCACGGGAGATGTGGAGAAGAGATTTGGAGATCTGGAGCTCTATATGGAGCGGTGAAGATAGGCGTGTTTATGCAGGCAGAAGTTATCATTGCGAGGGCCAGCTGACAAAAAGCCAATGAGACTTCTCCATTGGATTTTGTTGATATTGCAGAAAAAAAGACTGGCCAGATTTGAACGCCACTTTTTGACGTAAAAAGCGAATGTTTGGGTATAAAGGAACTACAGCACGGTCACATGACTTCACTTCATCACCGCTAGTCATCTTATTTAGACACTTGTTGGCATCCTCTGTTTTGTGAATTAAACTCACCGGTGGGGTATTGAGGTACTGACGTAGTTTATGTCGTAGAACAAAATGTTAAAATCTCTTCCACTTGTGTCTTATTTCTGGCTTCTAACCAAAACAAGGTTAAAAAAATCCTGATGATTGAATTTAATTGAATAGTGTACTGTTTCAAATCATTCGAGATTAAATCTGGGTTTGGAACAGTTTGATAGCAAGACGTTACTTTGGACTTTGGGTCATTGTGATGCCTGGTTTATTATTCTATAGGCCTTACAATGATTGGTTAATCATTAAAACAAATCTAACTGCTACTGAGTGCATGAAGTTGGAGCCTAATGCGAAAGAATAACTTCATTTAATTATTTGTCAAAGAGTCTGCAGTCCACAAACGCCAAGAGTCCTCAATCGAGCGTTAGAGGAGTATCAAAGTATGACTGATGTCCTAAATGAAATCAAGAAGCGAGAGTGAAAGCGCTTAACGGACCGCTCCGATGCCAACAGTTTGCTTTTTTCTGAAGGGACAGATTATCAGCAGTAAGGGACAGTCATTTCCTCTTGGATTTGATCCCTGCAGACAGACTCTAATCCGTCTCTCAGCTTTTTTGTAACGCCGTGTCGGGTCGAGCTCTCCGGCTAATTACGGTTTAGCTGAATTTGTCCAGCTTTTATGTCAATCAATAGCGGAAATGCATAGATGTTAAACGACTGTGCAGTGGGGCAAATGGCCTCCGACTGGCTGCTCTGGAGCTACTTCCTGCAACCCGATTCCTTCAAGCAGCGCACCGCTGAATTATTCATGTGACACCGAAGACCTCAGAGCAACACACCGCTGCATGTTTGTGTGCAAACAGTGAGTTCACATGCATGGACGCAGAGACGCACCATCAAACTGTGTTTATTACTCCAAACACACACACAGTTAGATATTACACGGTGAAGTCTGAGTGACATGGACATTTTAAAGAAAAAAAACACATCCATTTTAAAAGGGTTTGTTCCATGCAACTAAATATGTTCCAAGGGGAACTTCAGCTCTGTTTACACAGCTGGGGAGATACTTCATTTGAGTTTTTTACAGCAGGTAGAAAACACTTTTTACAAGTAAGTAAGGAGAGCCAACTAAAAGGGAGTCATTTCCTATGTCTGTGTGTATTTTCAGGTTTAACAATTGTATATAGTGTCTCTACTTTAAAGAGTCCTCTCCTGCTGATGTTCAGGTGTATATCAGTATGTAGTGTCTCTACTTTAAAGAGTCCTCTCCTGCTGATGTTCAGGTGTATATCAGTATGTAGTGTCTCTACTTTAAAGAGTCCTCTCCTGCTGATGTTCAGGTGTATATCAGTATATAGTGTCTCTACTTTAAAGAGTCCTCTCCTGCTGATGTTCAGGTGTATATCAGTATGTAGGGTCTCTACTTTAAAGAGTCCTCTCCTGCTGATGTTCAGGTGTATATCAGTATGTAGTGTCTCTACTTTAAAGAGTCCTCTCCTGCTGATGTTCAGGTGTATATCAGTATGTAGTGTCTCTACTTTAAAGAGTCCTCTCCTGCTGATGTTCAGGTGTATATCAGTGTGTATTGTCTCTACTTTAAAGAGTGCTCTCCTGCTGATGTTCAGGTGTATATCAGTATGTAGTGTCTCTACTTTAAAGAGTCCTCTCCTGCTGATGTTCAGGTGTATATCAGTATGTAGTGTCTCTACTTTAAAGAGTGCTCTCCTGCTGATGTTCAGGTGTATATCAGTGTGTATTGTCTACTTTAAAGAGTGCTCTCCTGCTGATGTTCAGGTGTATATCAGAATGTAGTGTCTCTACTTTAAAGAGTCCTCTCCTGCTGATGTTCAGGTGTATATCAGTATGTAGTGTCTCTACTTTAAAGAGTCCTCTCCTGCTGATGTTCAGGTGTATATCAGTATGTAGTGTCTCTACTTTAAAGAGTCCTCTCCTGCTGATGTTCAGGTGTCTATCAGTATGTAGTGTCTCTACTTTAAAGAGTCCTCTCCTGCTGATGTTCAGGTGTATATCAGTATGTAGTGTCTCTACTTTAAAGAGTCCTCTCCTGCTGATGTTCAGGTGTATATCAGGATGTAGTGTCTCTACTTTAAAGAGTCCTCTCCTGCTGATGTTCAGGTGTATATCAGTATGTAGTGTCTCTACTTTAAAGAGTCCTCTCCTGCTGATGTTCAGGTGTATATCAGTATGTAGTGTCTCTACTTTAAAGAGTCCTCTCCTGCTGATGTTCAGGTGTAT